ATATTCAAATAATGAACAAACTACAAAAAAGTAAAAAAAAATTGTTTTAAAGTATAAGAACAAACTTGAAAAATATATTATGAAGTTTCCAACGTTGACTAAACGTGTACCCATAAAAAGATTTAAGATCTGACTTTTTCGCTCTATAATTATCATTTCTCCAAACGTTTTTATATTCAACAAATTGCAGGTTGGGTTTTAATTGGGGGATTTAAGGGAGAATACTACAATAAAGTGCCGCTATTTTGCACGGTAACATCTTAGTAATAAAGTACGTTCAAACCGATTTGTTTGTCCAGTAAGTGCGCCAGAATTGGAACCTGTAGGTTTGGAATCCTGAAGCACAAACAAGAATATAAGTTATCAGTTGTTTTGTTTTCTAGTTTGCTTTTTTTAAAATTTCCTATTTTTTCACTTACCCTTTGTAAAATTGGGCGGAATATCTCAAGGTTGTAGATGATCCTCTAACTACAACAAATCATGAGTTAAGGAAGAAGACCAGTAGGTTTGGAGGAAAAGATGTAATTCGCGCCGTCAAGGATGAGAGCACAGGCTATTCCTCCCTAAGAAAGGTCAAAAATAAATCGATGGTAATACCAAAAGTTGTTACCGATGTTCGTAAACATCTATTCATCGGGAAATCACAACTGACGGCGAACTTTATTCTAATGACTCGTTGCCTGGTAATTGGAGGCAATAAAATGCAAAATAATATCGCATCTGGCGTTTTGGCTAAGCGGGAATCAAAGCCAAAAAACGATTTTATGTAGAGGAAAATAGACTTGGCAAAAGCATGTGATACCCTGAATAAATGACTATTTCATTAAGCTAATAAGCTAATTTAATTACTAATTACACTAATCGTGATTTGTGTTTCTTGTTTACTAGATTCGTATATTGGGGTGAGACGAGATTGATAATTGATCAAAAAAATATCAATGTCAAATACGAGTAAGCTTTTTGTCCAACGAGTTTAAATATCGTTGAGTGTAGTATCGGCCTTCAAGATAAATATTGAAATAAAGAATCAGGGATGAAGCCATGCAGGTGTAAAAAACCACTTCTTTTTCTGCTGTCGAGCTTTCGACTTTATTTAACACCTTCCTGAGGACACTATTACATTACAATCAGTGTTACGCTACAAATTACATATATAAAATTATAATGATAAATCAACAACTTACTTCAAAACTATTTAAAAACTTAACAATCAATTCGGACATGTGGTCCAAATAGAAGGAGCCGGATAACTCAACCCACACTACCAGGAAAGATAACATGTTATCAATTCCACATAAAAATGATGCTTACAAATTTTCCTAAAGTAATTAGGAATAGAACGTCTAATTTTAATTTTGAATTTGCATTCTAATATAAGAACAATCTCAGAAACCATGTATTTTCAAAATTGAAGTCCCCAGTACCTACTGAACTATGTAGTAATGTTGTCTACGTAGTAATGACTGTGAAATGGTGCATTATGGACAAACCAAACAATTACACAAGGACAGGTGTAGACAACATGAATATGATTGTAGGGCCAAAGACAAACAGGGAGCAGCTCTTTCCCAGCATTGTCACAAACTCAAACATAAATTTGATTTTGACAAAGTGGAGATTGTTGACAAGGAGCGTAACCTAGGGAGGGGGTTAATTAAAGAAATGCTCTACATAAAAACTGACAATAACGCCTATAATTTGAGAACAGATATCTCTAGCTTGAATATTATTTATAGTTCTATTCTTAATAAAAATAATCATTGTTGGTTGTTTTGTTGTATTGTTTCATTTATTTATTTGTTTATTAGTAATTTATTTATTTATTGTTATTATTTATAAATGGTAACTGTTATATGTGAGATTGTTACCGTTGATATATCTCTGTAACTAAATTTAACCCTTTTTATAGAAATATAAGCTCCCTATATAAATGTGAAAATTATCTACAACTAAATTTGTCATTAAATATGCAAAGATTACTTATACAACTATGGCTGTCTAGTGCTAAGGAAATCAATTTTTTTGTAAATGGCCTCAAATATGTAATTGACACACAATTAATGTGCTCTTTGTGTAAATTGTTTGAAGAGGAGAACTTGGAACATATATTTTTACATTGTCCAATTTACCAACCTCAAAGTCCTTTTATTTAAAGAAGTACATAGATACATGTGTAAATAGTAACAATTTAGACAAACTTGAAAAATTTTGCTAAATTTTGAAGCAAAAAACCAGGCAATTGATGTGTTAAATTTTGTTTATGAAGAACTTAAATTGAGAGCTTTTATTGTCAATGATTGATGTTTTATTGTTGCGTCATGTAATTATTGATTTTAAGTTAAGCGCCATGTATTTGATGATGTAATTTGATTAGTTCTTACATGCTATTATTATTATTATTATTAAAATTAATTACTTTTGTAAATAGTGTCATGTCAATTTAAGTTGGAAGATATCTTTAATGATGCCAAATCTTTATTGTGCCATTTGGCTCCCCCCCGTAATAGCTATTGCTGAAATACAGTATTAATCTATCTATCTAATCTATCATATCTCTGTAACCAAAGAAAATTACTTTAGAACAATTTGTAAGTCATTGTCATCATTTTTATGTGGGATGGAAAACATGTTATCTTTCCTGGTGGTCTGGGTTGAGTTATCCGTCTCCTTCTGTTTGGACCACATGTCAGAATTGATTAAGTTTTTCAAAAAAGTTGTTGATCTATTATTATAATTTTATATATGTAAATTGTAGAGCATTTATATGCTTTTATGTAGAGCATTTTTTTAATTAACCTCCTCCCTAGGTTACGCTCCTTGTCACCAATCTCTATTTTCTCAAAATCAAATTTATGTTTGAGTTTGTAACAATGCTGGGAAAGAGCAACATTCCCTGTTTGTCTTTGTCCCTACAATCATATTCATGTTGTATACATCTGTCCCTGAATTATTGTTTGGTTTGTCCATAATGCACCCTTTCACAATCCTTACTACGTAGACAACATTACTACATAGTTCAGTAGGTACTGGGGACTTCAATTTTGAAAATACATGGTTTCTGAGTTTGTTCTTGTATTAGAATGCAAATTCAAAATTAAAATTAGACGTTCTATTCCTAATTATTTTAGGAAAATTTGTAAGCATACATGTTATCTTTCCTGGTGGTGTGGGTTGAGTTATCCGGCTCCTTCTATTTGGATCACATGTCCGAATTGATTGTGAAGTTTTTAAATAGTTTTGAAGTAAGTTGTTGATTTATCATTATAATTTTATATATGTAATTTGTAGCGTAACACTGATTGTAATGTAATAGTGTTCTCAGGAAGGCGTTAAATACAGCCGAAAGCTCGTCAGCAGAAAAAGAAGTGTTTTTTTTTACACCTGCATGGCTTCATCCCTGATCCCTTTATTTCAATGCAACGAGTTTAAATATTTTGATAAATTGAAATCCTACAATTAGTTGTGTAAAACGGCTTTAAAGCGGTTTCGAAATATAGGAAGTCAAAAACTTAAAAATTAAGAACATAACTGAGAGATGGTTGAAGAGAATTGCAGTTTTTTAAAACGTTTGAAAAAAGTAAACCTAATTCATCACACAACATGAAGTGAAAAATCGCCATATAATATATAGTTTAATATTTTTAAATACTAAATTTCAATTATTAAGTAGTATTAATTTGCAACAAAAATCAGACCATTTTTACAAAACCTAACTAACTCGACAATAGAGTGAATCGTTCGGTTGCCTGGTATCTATGAGTCTATTGATTTTTTTTCCTATTTATTTTGAATCTGTTTTGTTATATATAGTAAAAATGTAGTAGAATATTGTTATCACGTTATAATTATCATTTTACTGTACTAATATCAATATTATTCGTGGACTGTTGTTGAATAAGCTGATATATCTTGTCTCCTTGTGAATTAATACATTTTTCACTGCATTACATTTATTAAAAATAATAAAAATAAACTTTTTTCAACAGCTTGACGGATCTTCACTTCTTAAAAGATGGAACACGTTCTCATTCAGGCCATTGATCAATTTTATGTAGTAAGCGATTTGGAATTGTACCCCACGTGCTAAAAGCCGGAGGTGGAAAAACGGTTGATTGCACTCTGCTTTTCCTCAGTGCCGGCTCTTTTTTTGGTGTAATATATTTTAAATTCAAATCGAGTAGAAATCACATAAAAACATTTGGAACGATTCAACAATCCCTCTTTCTAGATTTGAAAATTTATTTTTTGTTTTCGAGCAAACGAATATCAAAAAGATATTAATATTTTTTCGTCCTCAGATTTGTTTTTTCCCTGAAAACTCTTCTTTTAAAACATTTTGGTTTATCTTTTCAAATAAAAAATTACTTTCAACCAAAAACATAATAAATGTATATAATTTTGTGTTTTAAATTTAAACAATTATGTCGTATGTTTCAATCAGTCAATCAATTAATTTAGTATAATTGAATTAATATTTATTAATTACATTTAAATGTATGATTTTACAGTATAGACTTAAAAATTTAAATATAAAGACTGTAAAACAACCTGCATAATATATTACCCCACAACTGTATAAATCAGCAAGAAATTGGATGATCGCCTCGTAATAATAATAAACTATAAAACATTTTTAATTATTAAAGTGTCTTTTTAAAATGTGCAAATCTTTTAAATCACTTTGATAATATAAGCAGATTATTACAATTTAATATAATGTTATAAAAAGTATTACTTATTGACAAAAGCGTGATTGTAGATAATGCAGACCCACATCCGTAGTGTAAACATATCGGAGATTTAAAATCACAAAAATTAAGAAAAGTGAAAAAAAAAATATAAACGGCAGATCATCCTGCTTAAATACAAGATATTATCTATTAATAATCAGCATTAATTTTGTAACGTCTGTTCGTCGGCGGTTAACAGAATTTGTACCGTGGGGGGTGGTGGATTTTGGAGGGGGTTGTTTGACGGCTCAGTTTGTGCTTAGTTCTCAGCACGACAGCATACCCGATACCACCCCATACCGTTCGATGCCGTACCTCTCTCGTAATCGTCGGCCATGTGAGTAAATTAAAAATACTCTGTATATTTGCAAAATTTTCTTGACACTAGCTTAAAACAATATTTAGTTTAATAAATTGGGAAAAAATGTATTTTTTAGAATTGTTTTTATTCTAACTGTACTAATCATATGCACATATATTGTATGTATATTTAGTTTTATGATCTGGCTTGATAGTACTTTTCATCGATTTTAAACAGCCCAAAAAGTTATCTAATTAACAGGATTTATTTTTGTTGAACTTTAATTAAGCAACCCCAAGAGGAATTAATGTGACATAGGGTGGGAAGAGGTGGAATTGAGCTTATTTTTTGCGTCTTCACGGGAAGCCGCAACCGAATTTTAATTAGATAGCACATTATTTCATTTTGTTCAAGCATTATTTCACCATTATCAAAACTTCTGTTGATGGGGTGCGGTTTGAAACTTCCAACAATAATTAAAACACGACTTTTAAGTTAAACCTTTTCAAACGTTTCACCTTTTCCACTTGCCCACCGTTTTTAATTACAACTGGTCGAAAATTGACTGTGCATCGACGTTGAAAAATGGTTTTCGCTTTGTCCAAATACAATTTTCTTTAAACAAGCAAACACAAATTTTTATTTCTCCCTTTTGTTAAAATAATCAAAAATTTTTTAAGATAATTTAAGAAAGAATTAACAATACCCTTTTTGCTAATAATTATATTCCAAGTGAATGAAGAAGTCAACGATACTTTGTTTTTTCATTGTTTTTGTAGAAACAATTAACAAATTTTACAAGAACTACAAGCATACTTTCAGAATTGTTAGAAAATCGTGAGATGCGGTCTGGTAGGATGTAGGTATCAGAAAAACATTTTTTTATCGTGCCAACGTTTCGATCTTTATTGAGATCATCTTCAGGGCCAGGGATTTACAAACATTGTTTAAATTTAAGAAATACGTGTAGGATGTGGAAAAAGTGAATTTATACAATAAATATTTTTTTTAGATTCAATCAAAGTATATCTACTCACTCAAAGTGTTTGTTGTCTGCGTAATTGTGCCATTCTTACGTGTCATGTTGAGAGTGCCAGTGAGATACATATATGTTTTTTATACGTACTTCGAAATCCAACAAAAATATTTTTTGCATTGTATAAATTGAGAAATTCACTTCTTCCACATCCTACATGTATTTGTTAAATATAAACAATGTTTGTAAATCCCAGGCCCTGAAGATGATCTCAATAAAGGCCGAAACGTTGGCACGATAAAGAAAATGTTTTTCTGAAACCGACATCACACCAGACCGCATCTCACGATTTTCGAATAATCATCGACTAACGGTCACTAATCACCACACATTTCTTAGAAAATTGAAAGGACATGGTAATATTTAAAATGTTGTTAGTCTTTTGATTTTGTTACACAGAATTCAATATGATGTGTAAAAACTGCAATCTAACTGAAAGCATATTAAATGTTTCAATTAGTACCATTTAAGTTTAGAAAATTAGGACCTATTTTTCTATACCAACAAGTTTTTGTGGACATGTACAATAATTATATTTATAATTATAATATCTCCCTTATTTTTAATTTGTGATCATCGAAAGCCTCACGATTCTTCAATACTTAAGTTTTTAACTGTTTTAAATAAACTGAACAGTTGTATTTTTACAATTACAACACACTACGTTTGTACCATTGTGTTTTGACGCAAAATTGTAAATTTTTGATTAATTAAATTTTACAAGCTATAAATAAACTCTCATCTATTAGAGTTTGTAGATAAAGAAAAATACTAAAAATATATAACATATTCTATGCGATCGACCAGCCTTTATTATGTAAAACATAGTCTGGTGAATTAGGGTAGTGGTGAGAAAAACAAATAATGGTTTTGTACCAACGCATAGGTTTCGAAGATGTATTTCGTCTTCTTCGGGGGTGTACAGCGAATAATGTTAATTAGTTTTCATATTTTCTTTCAATGATCAACGTATAGTTTCATTTGCCGGATATTATGAAACTACACAGTTATAATTAATCATAATAAATAATTTCATGATTTATTTTAATCCCTATGTGGATCCCTGTCAGATTGTATTGCTGAAGGTTTATATGGATATCTAAATTGTCTATGATTTCACCAGCTCTATTCTGCATACATGAAGTAAAAATTGAAAGTTGCTAACTTTGCATCTGAAATGTTTAGAAAAAATGGAAAAGTAGATGGTAATATTTAAAATGATGTTAGTTTTTTCATTAAATATTAACAAATCGATAAATATTCTGCAGTTAACACTTTACCACAATAATGGGTTATTTTTATAAAAAAAGATACAAAGCATGGAATTAAGGTAAAGTATCCGACTTTGCAAGACGAGTCTGCGCCTGGTTTTTGTTGAAAGGAAATGCTTTTTTTAAAGGCAAGTACTCTGGAGCGAACCTGTGTAAATGGGATTACAGACAGAGGGGGTTCTGAAAAGGCTAATATAAGTAATTCCAGCTTTAACATTTTTGCCAGAAATTTACAATGATTTTCTATCCTCGAACGTCTTCAACTATTGGCTCGGTGATAGTCGTAAGATAATTCCAATTTTATTACCGGCCGTCTTTAATCCGCACACGATTTAATTGCAGCGATTAAACCCTTTTTATATTCCGCATTTCCAAACGATTAACACGACCAGTTAATTGGATTTCCCAGGGATTAAGCACATTTGGATGATTAATGGCGGAATATTTTGCCAGCGTTAATAGACCATTTACAGCTTTTACTGCAACGTTGTTAAAAATACCCCCACGATAATTTTTTAAACTTGAAATAAGAAAAAATAGTTAAAAATATATGTGGTAGAATGTAAAGAATGTATTGAAAATGAACCTCAATTTAGGTTACATTTTGGTTAAATAATGATATTTTCTTTACAACAAAGAATACGATCCACATATTTGTTCAATAATTGCCTTAAAATTCAGCAATCAAAGTATAATCAAAAGCTAAAAGCAACAATTGTGGCAACATAATTGTAAACGTAATTGGTTAAGATGTCATGTGCTTGTGAGAGTGAACTTAAGTATAAATTCTTCTCACATTCGCTTTGTGTTACTTGTGGCACGATTAATTGCTTGCGCTTGTGTGATAATTGTTAAAAACAAATCTTTCCAACTATCTACAAGGTTACACGATCAGGGCTTACGATAACAGAAACTTGTACTTCAGCATACAATAACACAATCCATAGCGTCACAAAATTTACACCTACTGCTTGGAGAAGATTCTAATTATCATTCCACAATCACTCCAAATTAAGTGCAATTTACCATTAGATCGTAGAGGAACTTTAGAAAATTCAATTTTAAATCATGAAAAGAATAAAAAAATGTAATAAAAAACCGGAAAGACTACAAATGAGCCGTCAATGAGTTGGTGCACGGAAGGAGGAAATAAATTATTATTATTATTATTATTTTTTTTATATTACAATCTGCAATTATTATTTACAATATGTAATTTGCGGATGTATGAACAACTATATATATGTACAACTATTTACATTGAGGGGAGAAAATAGTCAGTGCTATCCTCCCTCTTCACTTTGTTTAAAAAAATAAATAAATAAATAAATTAAATAGAAATACATTAGAAATGGACCTTCCCTATTACACGACGATATTCGAAACACTATCTATGAAACAAATTGTGGAAAAAGAAACTAATTCTATGTCATTCCAGCAAATTAATTCCTACAGGTAAATTTCTCATATAGCTGGGGGGGGATGTTCATGAGGCTATGTCATACTCACAATGATATGAAATATGAACATTATCAGACAGACTTAGTAGTATAAATAGTGAACAAGTGTAAATAAAGGATTTTTTTATAGGTAAGCACTATTAGCATAATATTGTTTATTGTAAAATTAATTCTGTAAATAAATTAACATTTTCAGTAATCCATTGATTTTTTCTTTTTCTAATTTTAAAGATTTTATATATAAATATGTGTATGGTGTGTTGTTGTTGTTGTTGTGTGTGTGTGTGTGTGTGTGTGTGTGTGTGTGTGTTAATGTCAGCGTATATGCATGTGCGTACGCGCGCGCATATGCAATATGTTTGTACGTTGAAATATGTTAATTACTGTAATTGCGCCATACATGCTTTGCAGAAATGGGCAATTGTATCGTAGGGCGACTGTAAATTAATTGAATTGATGAATGAATTAAAATTGAATTGATCAATAATTGCTGTTTAACCGTATAGGAAATTTAATTTAATTAAATTTAAATATGTGCGTCTGGTTGGTGGAGCACGCAAAAGGTCACTACATTTCTAATTCAGTGCCTAAAGTTTTTTCCATTATAAAAAAAAAACGAAATATGCATTTGAAATAAAAATCTAAGTTATTTAAAAAATAATTTATGATTCGTAAAAAACAAGAACACGTATTTTCAAATTATTACGATAATCGTTTCAAACCAACTGTATAATATAATATTTAATTATGTTTCTGCAATAAACATTTTATTTATTTTTGTATAAATCTTTAGAGGTGAGTGGATCTTACGTTCCGCTGACGCATGCTGATGCACGCAATGCCAGCCTGGCAGTGTCACTACATATGACATGTCTTCTAAAGCAGCGCTTTCTCGACATCTTTCGTACCTCCACGAACGCACAAATTACAGTGCCTTGCCTGTTAATATTAATTGTAAAAAGAGAATTTTTTTCAAAGAGCAATTTTAAGTATGTTTAGAGATCAATACTCATATTTAACTGCTCTGAATTGAATTATTTACATTTTTCAAAACAAGGGCAAAATTGTTTTCAAATAAGGCTTACGATTTTTTTATTAATATATAAGGTTATTTAAAAGATATGAAGGTATATTAACATGAAGTGTTGATCGTTTGGATTATAATTACGCTTTTCTTTCTATTTGGGACTAGCGGCCATTTCAGATTAACAAAAAAAAAAAAACGTAGAACATCATATAAGACTCAAGAGGACAAGTTGTGCCCTCGTC